TTAATTTTATTTGACGGACAGTGTGTGAGCCGCCTTCTGTCTGTGTCTCCTTAAAACTGTTATTAACACTTATTTTTCATCACTTTTCATCTTTTTTTAAATAACTCTTAAACGTTGAATTAAAAAAATATTAATTCATCTCTGTACTGAATTCATATATTCTTGCTTAAATTTTTTTTACCTGAAATTATGTTGTTTTATTGTGTTGTGTTGTTTTGCTTTGTTGTAGTGTGTGTTTGTGTTGTTTTCTTGTATTGTGTTTTGCTTTTTTTGTGTGTTTGGTGTTTTTTGTGTTTTCTTGTGTTATGTTGTATTGTTATTTAGTTTTTGTTTGTTTTATTGTGTTTTCTTTTTTATGTTGTTGTGTTTTGTTGCATTGTATTTTGTTTCGTTGTGTTTTGCTTTTGATTTTGAGGCATTTGTTTTGTTTTAGTTTTTAATTTTTTGTGGTGGTGGTGTTTAACTTTTATTGTTGCGTTTTGTTTTGCTGTGATGTTTTTGTTGTTTTTTGTTCTGTTTTTTCTTTGTTTCGTTGTTTTTCTTGTTGTATTTTGTTTTGCTTTTTTGTGATGTTTTCGGTTTGTTGTGTTTTGCTTTAGTTTTTTTGCTGTTTTTCTTTTGTTTGTTTTTTGTTGTTGTTTTTTTGTTTTGTTGTTGTGTTTTTGTTATTTGATTAGATTATTTTGTTATCTGATAAACAAATGTGTTTATTAATTTTTCCCCCCTTTTTTGCAATACAAATGTACCGTTTTTGTCATACCAATACAGTACACTAAATTATGAAAACTGACCATCATCATGCTACAGTCCCCAGAAATGTCACCTACAGTTTTTAGGAAGAACTTCTATTGTTGACTTTATTTTATCAGTCAATTCACTTCCCTTTTGCTCTAACCTTGTCAATGAATTGACTCATTTTGAATAGCTGCCTGGCACGCAGACACATCTTAAAAGATATTGTGTGTGCAGACTGTGCGACTCTAAATGAGTAATCTGATTATTTTGTTGCTCGAGGTGTCGTAGCAGCAAGCAGCATTTCCTGTGGAATCCTCCAGGCCCACTCCACAGCTGACTGTATGCAGGTGTTTTAATAATGCATGATTCCCCATCTCGAGAGATCCTCATATGATGCAAACTCTCCCTCCTCACGAGCTGCTCTGCGCTAGTTGCCGAAAGTCAGAGCCAGTCTGCAGATTTCAGTTGACAGATTTCATAAAATCGTGTAGTGTATGATGGTCACAGACTCTTCAGACTATGAATGTATCTAGTCGGAGGATATCAAGCATGTTTGATATTTTGAACCGATTTTAGAACACATATTGTTTTCATTTGTCACACATCTCCTAGCAAAAAGGTGCACATTTTAAACAATTTTAAAGTCTGCACTCTAAAAAATGCTGGGTTAAATACAACCCAGTGCTGGGTAAAATAGGGACAAACCCA